GGTTTAGGGTTTAGTTCTTCGGGTTTCGGGCTCAGGATTTGTGGATGAGGGTGTAGGGTTTAGGATACCTCGGGCCAAATCCTGTGAATTCTACAATTTCACCTGCAGCCGCTGGCTGAAGTCGGACCAGTCCCATTTTTAAGATTCCCCCAACTTTTCTGCTAGTCATGGTGCGCCCTAGCATCTCGGGGTCAAAGACTACGGACTTCTTGCAGTGGCCCTGTCAGCACCCCTTGAAAGCACCCCTTGCAGTACCCCTAGCGGAAGCTTTGCGTGGTTCCTTTAAGTGTTCCCTTAAAGGTTCCCTTATGGTAATGCAGGGGCCTTAATAATTAGAATAGAGTTTTGGTGTATATTCTACCATAATTATAATAAGGAACCCCCAAAATAGTATAGGTAATTATTATATAAGGCCCCTCTAGTAACCCTGACCGGGTGCCGATCGACTTGCACTCCCGCCCCTTCTCGGATCGGAGGGTGGAGGAGATGCGAAGGCCTGGGAGAGCTTGGGGTTAAGGGCTTTTGTTGTTGAAGCGCCTTTGTTTGTAAGTGCAGTAGCCCCTCTTTCTGAAGCCCCTTTTAGGGCTTAGGATTTCGTGCTGGTCACGTGCACCTAACGGGAAATCAGAAAGCACCAAGGATGCTGATGGCGCGAGGCAACAAAGTGAGGACCACATGGGTAGTTCTCAAAATTAGGGTCACAGCATCCTCATAAAAAGGACCCTAAAAGGGACCCTAATTTAGAGAACCACCCGCATGCAGTGCCACATGCACCTGAACAACTGCAAGCGCTTGCCGTGACGGCTCCTGGGCCCCGACCGATCTGGACACTCTGGCGCACTGTGCTGGGGTCAAAGGCGGGTGCGGCCACCTGACGGCCGGCAAGGCCACATACGGTTGATGGGCAAAATTCTGCATGACCCAAATATAGTATGGTACCATAAATCCCACAGTTCAGGTATATAAGGTCATGCAGGATTTTGTCCATCAACAGTAGGGCTTCGAAGTCAGCTTGTTTTGTCATTGCGAAGCGCCGAAACACAGGTGGTGC